ACAAAGCGTCGAGGCGGGAGAGGCAGGCGGCGCGGACCGGCACAGAAGAAATCCGGTGTGGCTCGTTTGACCAGGCACCCGCTTCAGGTGCCTCCTCATGAAGCGCTGAGGGATTTATGAGCATAGCACACATGGTATTTGACAACTTGAAAGAGGCAGGACCTAAGGCCGCCTCTTCAAGGTGGCCAAGGTTTGCTTGGGTGAGGCAGGAGAAAATAGGAACGTAGTGAGCAGGCATTCAGCACGGAGGTGTCCAGGCTCCTCTGTGCACCGATCTGGTACGCAGAAATGTGCTTTTGCTTCCCGACCACTGCGTTAAACAACAGATTATTTTTTTAAAGTCTCCTGGGACGTTTTTTCATCGGAGCAGGGGCTTGCTTCTACATGTGTAGCTACCTTTCCTACCACAACTGTGCTCAATTGCTCCTCCGCTGTGACTGCATGTTACTGGATGCTCTTCATATGCAAAGTTTGAGATGGGATGAACCTTACTGTACAAATGGCAAATATCATACAAAAGGAAGTCTACAACAAGAGCAAGTTAATGTTAGTCATTTAGTTTGAAAGCATTCATTTTCACACAACATACCCGATCCATATGTGTGGATGCAGTAACTGGCAGGGTGCTTATTCTTGCTGCAGCCATTTAAGAATTCAAAGTTCATTGTCAGGAATTGTGATCTTTGGGCTAACCATTAAATAGACCTAGCAGTTTATAACACAGTTTTGGCTCTGTAACATCATAGCCATTGAATATTCAAGGTTTTGGTACTGTATTGCAAAATAATAGTAATAATAATCATCATCATCATCTTTATCTTTTTAATCCTTCCTTTCTCGTATTATGCTTCTATGTTTTAGAGGGTATAGAGGAAAGTATTTAAGATAAAATTTACTAAAAATTAAGAACTTCAGAAAAACTAGAGACAAAGAAGATCAGAATGTTTCTCTGAATTACAATGACCTGTTTTTAATCCCTTTCCTTGCACTTGCATCCAATTACTGTGGTGCCAAACTGGAAAATGGAAGAACCTGTGCTCCAACGACCACCTTAGGATAAAATAAAATAAATAAATAAATCCCACAGTCACAACAAACTTGCAGATGAATCCATCATTGATAAACTGTTGCACTTCTTAGTATAGGATATTTACAACTTGTTATTTAATATGTGTCTTTTTAAGGTCAAGAAATTTTTTTTTTTTTTCAAAATTAAAGAAACTTTGTTAATGAAAACTAAAGGTGTTCTCAAAACGAATCAACCTGCATTTTGATTGCAAGCAATAATACTCTTCTTATAAACAGAGGTATACAACAAGAACCCACATGCTCGATACCATCAGTATAATTTCTGCATGATTATTCCCTTCTTTCTTTCTGCTTTTCCCTTTTCTCACACCAGCAACTGACCCAGGTGAAGTTTAAGCAATATTTGTATCAGTTATCTCACAGCTTTCAAAAGAGCACTCCTTTGCCTGGAAGGATGACTGATGAAATCTGTACACAAGATGACATCAGCATGCAGCAAAGTTCCAGGCAAATCCCACGACATAACAAAAATATGTGTTCCTTGTTTGCTGGGGGATTTTTCCATGCAAGTCCTCCTTCCTTCACGAGGGCTTTATTCTCATGTGCGGTTGTACTGACTGCAGTGGAACCCATGTGAGTCAGGACTGCGACAACGACAATGGTCCCCTGGTTCTTCGGGTGCCTTCAGAACACGCTGCTTGTGGCTCATTTTACTTTTCAGGAAATGCTACCAAGTGTCTTACAATAGCCTGGTCAGTTTTTTTGCAGAGGGTTGGTTTGTTTGGGGGTTTTTTGCAACATTTTGGACAAAAATGTTACTTTTTAAAGCTGTTACACCACAGTTACTTTTCATTCTACTAGTGGTTATAATGTACTTTGAGTAGGATTTTTTTGCATTGACAACCAAAAACTGAAGAGCAAGAACGTCTCCCTTCCTCCCACGCCATCCCAAGTTCTGAACTGCCATTAAGTGAATGTTATTAAGCCATTTATAGGGACTAGCAATAATTAAGACAAACAATTTAAGCGATCAACTTTTTCAGATCTTACAGCCTGTTTTAGCAGTACTTTAAAAGCCATTCTGTGGTAAAAGACCTTTTCTAAAGTATATCAAGAACTAGATTACAGTAATCTTTATTGGAGTTGTTCTTGTTACGACTAATTGTACAGTCACGCTAATATATAGCAATGAACTCAATGTGCAGAAAACCAAAGCAAATATTGAACCTTCCTTAGTACAAATTCGGAGACTCAGATCCAGGAGCCTTTAATCAAAATTCCAATTAACTTCAAAGAGTTTTACTTGAGTAAAAATTGCAAGCAGAATCTAGTACAGAAAAATTACCATTTTAATTGCTACTAGTCTGATTAAGTGATTCAGCTTTCAGTTGATGCAAGCACTTACATTAACACTAAAAATTTATTAATGGTCATTTATATTCTACCAAGCCTAATCCTGCCAAAGATTTTTTTTTTTTTCCAGAAGACTGCAGCAAAGATCAGCGTAGCTTCAAAACAACCCAGCACATCCCTGAAGAAATGCTGCTTGATGAAGCTTCAAGAAATGACCTTGCAGCAGAAGCAAGCCTTGGCAGCCTACGAGCACGGTGCTGCCACGACTCTGTAATGTCACCGGAGCTGGCAGCCGTGAAGAGCCGTACTGCCGATGCCGTTTGCGATGTATCACTGACTCGATGGGTGAACCGGCCTCTCTGTCTCTCTGCGGTGCTGTATGTTTAATTATCAGTAGGTGGCACTCATCATGCTGCTCTGAAAGTCCAGGTCCATTTTATACGCAGATCATGGTTTCGGCAGGCAGCCTCATAACACATCACAGAAATAAAGGACAGCAAACAGGCACGGTCAGCGCTGCCC